TAATCAATTCGCAAAGACAATGTTTAGTAGTGTTTTAACAGTGACAGTACTGTCGGTCATTAAACTTTCTTCAAAATGATGTTTAGAGTGACGAACAAGAATTGAGTTGTGAGTACAATTGCTGTTGTGTATATATCCTCCTCTTCGATTCCTAATTCTGTAGAATTTGAGGTGAGATAATGTCATATTTTTGCTTGATTCGTTTAGATGATTCATATTTGTTTATAGAAATATAATATTTTTTCTATAAAAATATAGGACACATGTTTTTGTACCACCTACAAATCTTCCTTCACAGTTGTTCGCATTGATCAAATCGCCTCTGAACTGATTAAGAAAGTTCAAAGTCATATTTATTCCATGTGAATACTTTGTTGTTGTTTTTTGCAGCATAAATTGTGCGTAACTGCACCTATTTTTTCACTTTCATAGAATGTAGATTGTGAGAGCAGAATTTATTTTCACAAATTTTTATTGATATAAATTGATTGTTTTCAATTTTCTTCAATATAAATATCTTATTAATTCAATTTGAGATCTTTGAAAAACTAATCACTTCATTCTCATATCATTCTTCGTAGACTATCCAAATCTGTGAAAACAAATCGTATTTTTTAATTTGGGCACTCTCAATGTTTCATTTTCAGATATCGTACGTTTATCTCAAAATTACATCAACTTCTTCATTTCAAATTGAACATCCTATACATTTATTTCATATTCAGAGTACGCATTACAGATTTGAATTCCGAATTCAACGAAACTGCGTTTGCTGGAGGTACGACAAACTATGATAATATGGCCAAGAAACAATTTCATTTGCCCTAATGATGAACTGTTTGCACATAACCCCATCAAACCCGTTAGGTTTAATTAATTTTATATTAAAAATCTTTAATCGAACATTGATGCGAGGTTTAGGAAAAACTGAGAATGTGGCAACATTGGTTGACATTTCCGATTCTTTCAACATACAGGGTATGTCACGACGAGCTTACACTATCTTTATATCGAGAATCAATCGCGAGAAATCCATGAAAATGTGCATGCTTATATCTCAGAATACGCTCTTTTCATTTAAAATATTTTCGACGATGCAGTGTTGCCGCTTCTACTAGAAAATAGTAGCAACATTGATATTTCAAATGGAACATCCTGTATTTTATCGCATTTCCAGATTCTTCCTGAAGAGCTGATTTCTTCGATGTATCACACTTTGGGTCTATCGAAAAAGATAACAGAGATATAGGGTGTTCAAAATCTAGATTTTTCAACTTGAGGATTTTTTTCTGTCGAAACTATTCATTATTGGTCGAAACGGCTCATATGTCCCTATTTCAACTTTTGATTCACTATTTATTCATATTCAATCGGAATAGATACAGGGTGGTTTAAGATTCAGAACTCTGATCACCCTGTATCTGTTCCGATTAAATATAAGTAAATAGTAAATCAAAAGTTGAGATGGGGACATGTGAACCGTTTTGGCTGATAATGAATAGTTTCGACACAAACAAATCCTAAAGTTGAAAAATCTCGATTATGAACACCCTATATCTCTGTAATCATTTCCGATAGACCCTAAGTGTGATATATCGTTGAAATCAGCTCTTCAGGGAGAATCCAAAAATGGAATAAAATACAGGGTAGTCTACTTAAAATAACAAAGTTGTTACTACTTTTTGATAGAAGCGGCAACACTGCATTGCTGAAATTATTTTAAATGAAGAGAACGTATTGTAAAATATTAGCATGCATATTTTCATGTATTTCTCCCGACTGATTCTCGATATAGAGATAGTGTAAGCTCGTCGTGACATACCCTGTATTATGTAATTACCTGTGAATTCGAAATAACCTGATGAGCTATTCTAGAAATATTTGACCGTTTCCAGACTAACCCCCTGAATTTACAAGACATTTCGTATACAATCTATAGCTTGTTGATTGGTGAATTATATTTTAAGGTGAAGGTAACTTATTTTTGTATTTCATCATCTTTCCTCTATTAACCTTTTGTCCTTGTATTTTCCGAAAGTTATTAGGCGATCTAAAATTATTATTTAATCCTAGACTTTATTCCAAAAATTTCACGAACTGTAAGATTTCCACAATATTATCCTGAAAAACACAATATAGTCGATTAGAATAGGGCCTTTGGTCTATTTGCTTTCACACCGCGACCTATCAGTAGAGTTCTCTGACTAGCCTCCATAGGCTAGCCTGGAACTGCATAACCTAACCTGACTCTAACATGGGTACCACTGGTACCAGCACATACAGGATATGAGGGCAATGGAAATAACCCTGTGAATCTTTGAGCTCATGGGTTTTTCCTCTATCAGCTTACAATGTATTAGTTGTAAGATATCCTTATGTGTTCATTGGAAATAATATTATTTATAAGATTGCCTATATTGTCTACAATGCAGGTTGCTGAGAGAGATTTCCAAAAGTAATATAACGATGTTGCGTACACAATTTTTTTGGCACCATATGTGGAATAACAATTCAATGAGACACATTTCCATATTATATTTCTTTGTGGAATATAATTGCTTCCATTTTTGATTCTTATTTGTATCAAATCCTATACATGCTAACTGCTACATTGGAAATTCCGTATGGACATTTTCAAATTCACTATCGCTGCTGCTTTCGATAGTTTATTGCGATAATTGCAACCAAACTTTCGAAAATCCAAATTTCAACTAATTTCATGTCAACAATTCTCGAATGGGGATCCAATAACTTGGTAGAATTCAAAGCAAATAAAACACAAGTATGTCTTTTCTCAAGAAAAGTCGATCTCATTCAAAATCAATTGCTAAAAGTGCATCCCAAAAACTTGGTTTTCTGTTTCGGGCCAGGACCTATCTCACTTCCAGTCAGCTGCTTATGATCTATAAGGCACCGATCCGACCTGTCATGGAATACTGTTTCCATATTTGGAGTGCAGCACCCAAACATACCGTGGACTGTTGGATTCTGTCCAAAAAAGGGCAATTCCTCTCGTGGGTGATGCATCGCTCACAAATTCACTCACTTCTCACCGTAGAAAAGTTGGCGATCTATTTCATAGATATTTTCATGGACGATGCTCTTCTGAAATATCAACAATTGTTCCTCCCTTGGCAGTCCCCGCGAGATTAACCCGTCGAGTTGAGGCTTCGCACCCCTTCGTGGTCACTTTGGAGACCTGCAGATCATCTCTTTCCAAAGACTCGTTCATCCAACGAACAGCGAGGCTCTGGAACACATTGCCAAGGGAGGTGTTCCCCGAGGCATATAACATCCAGAAATTTAAGAAGAACACCAATTCCTACCTAATTTTCCTTGGTTCTCACGATGTTCTCTGAACATTACAGGATATCCCTTTTCGTGAGAACCAGAACATAAAAAAAGGCCGATATTTCGCTGCTGTGGTAATTATCATCTGCATTTATCAAAACATTATCTACCAAGATTTCCATAGTTACAGTGATAACAACGATGTGATAATTCCCGGACTAGGCCTGAAAAATGCTACTTTCTTAAAGAAAAAGCGTCCGGGAAGTGAGCACTTCCCGGACGGTTGCCGAAAAAAGGTTTTACAATTATATCGTAATCGCCAAGGTCATTAGATGACGTTGCGAATACATTGGAAACTACGGGAAAACATCCCAAGTCCTGACATAGATTGAAAGTAAGGTATGTTAATCTGTGTTGAAAGTTAGACCCCTAATAACACAATTATGTCCCATGGATATCCTTAGGACGTCCTGTCGGGACATTTAGGACGTCCAAGGACGTTCGAATTTGGTACCGTGGACGTCCATCGGACGTCTGTGGGAAGCACAAATGTCCCACTTGAGGACCAACTAGAGACGTCCTTGAGGGATGTCCCTGGGACAACTATCGAATACCTAAATCCTACAGTATTCCTCATCAAGCACTACGGAGGACATACTTAGGACATCCGTCGGACAACCTAACAGCAACGCTGAGGGATATCAATGGGATGTCCATTGAATGTCCCAGGGACGTACGAATTATTCTTGAATTTGAATTTTTCTGGGTCCCTCCAGGACCAGATCTTGCATAACGGATAAGGATATATAGTTGTGTTGATGGTCCGTGGAAGGTCCCCAATAGATCCTGAAAAAGTTTCCCAAGGATATCCAATGGACTTACGTGAAGGACATTGACGGGGAGCATTTATAGCCTACGAGCAATCAGTCGTCGGCGAGGTGTAAGTTAACGTCCTCGCAGGGACAACATATTGAAAGTACCGACTGGGACGTCCGTAGGACGTTATTTCTAGGACATTGGATAAGTACAGTTCATATACCAATTGGGACATCCTTAGGGATATCCGAAGGGACATTTCGATTGTTATACAATCCTTGAAATATTGAGGGCGTCTGTGCAGAGATATTTGAAGGAATGTACAATCAGGGACATTTCACAGTTGTCTAGAAGGGACATTATATAAGATCTGAAGTCATGCCAGAATATGTACGACTCGTGACGTCCGATGGATGTCCCTAAAGGAACGTTTAAAATCATATCCCATCAGGGACATGCCAAGGACGTCCTGGCATTGACACTCTACAATATGTACCACGTGGGACGTCTAAGGGATGCTATTTCTGGGACATTTGAAATTATGTCCCAGCTGGGACATTCCGTGGACGCCCTTGCTCGGACATTGCATGAGATGTACGGGATGGGACGTCCCAAGGACACTTATTTTTGGTCCGGGACATTCGGACTTGAATTGTACCAAATAAGGACGTCCCTAGGACGTTGTGTGCTATTAGGGACATGTTTTCCCGTAGTTTTGAATGTCGTCGAAACGTCATCTAATGACCTTGGCAACCGCGAATAGTCAGTTCAAAACTAGACTTTATTGATCATTATCTTGCTACTTCCCTCAAAATTTTTCTGCGTACGCCCATGATTACAGAGCTTTTTATAGGTACGGTAGCACTACCACAGAATTAGCACTACTTGAACCTGATTGTTTTCGGGCCTACCAAAATGAATAATGATCTGTTTTGTTTATTATGATGCTGCAAAAATTATCAGTACCACAGTATTTACTCGAGTTTATCGCGATGTAACGAAACAAATGGTCTGAATAAATAGTATGTAACTATTGCTGTTGAAATGAATTGATAACTTACTTGCCAATAATTTTCAATTAACACTAACGTGCGAAATTGTAGACAGTGGCACTCAAACGATATATGCTCAATAGTTGAGAATTATGATAGTGATATAACCACGAATAATAGCAGTACCTATAGTAGAATAGATAATACTTATATATATTTTTTATTTTCATAGATGGGCGTGGAAAAAGATGCTTTCGATTGTGATAATTCCAATAAGGAAGAAGACATTTTAGTGCAGGAGGTAATCAGTTTAACAATAGTCGGTGACCGGAGAGAAGATATCGCCTTGAAATGGAAAGACAGCCTGAAACAAGTGAGTATAATTTGATAGATTAAGAAGAGTAATACATATTTTTTCTGTGACGGAAAAACGACGATTTAATATTGAAAATATTTTTGAATATATTAGTGAATTATCGATGTAAGATTTGTTTTAGAATGGTAGGCTATTGTACAGAGTGTCTCACTTAAATGTGTCACTTCCCTAATTCTATCAACATATTTTGATTATTCAAAAACTTTTCTTGAATAATTTTCAACGAGTCTCTGCTCACTTTTCCTTTTAAACAACAAAATACAGAGTGGCTCAATTTTTTTTTCTAATGAAATGGAGCCCGTCAATCTGAATTCAAAAATATACCAGGTGTTTCGAATTCGATCCTCACCATGTGGATCTCGGAAACTAGAAGAGATATGAAAATGGTTGAATTGGATGAAAGTTGCGCATTGTTGTTGCAAATTGATTAAATTTTTTCTGGCTTCATTTATTGTAGGATTTCGAAATGAACTGCACTTTTGAAATGTCATTTTTTTCTCAACTACATAATGGTACTATCAGATTCGCTAACTGACGATTCTTCTCCCGGCCACCATCATCAACATTATTTTTTCCAATGGGCGCCATATTGCATTATTTCTGTTTTGAATAGAACTTGTTATTCTCTTCTCAATGGGGTATCAGAAGTTGCCTTTCTTTTTGGAAAATCGGAGATATTTAAGAAAACAAATTATCAAAGTAGACTTTGAGTTTGATGTTTCACTTTCAATCTGTCACACTTGATGACATTCGGTTATATTGTATGCCGCTGTATGTATGGAAATGGCTTTCACGACTGAATAAAATAAATATATAATATGATGAGAATTTATTATTGATAAGTAAAATAGAAACAGTGTTCTGACATCTGAAATGTATTGAACTCACAACTATAATGAACCTCGAACGAACAAAATTAATAATCTAAAATGTAAAAGCGAAAGTTAATCACATCAAATGCTCAAAATCATAACTATAATGAATCTCGGACGAACAAAAATAATAATCTGCTCGGCAACACAATTTCGTGAACAATATTACTTGAAGAACTGACAAGACCACGCCCACAAATCGTGCGCCGTGGTTGTCACGTTCAACGATTCAAATGTCCTATATAATAATTATTATTTAGGTTAGGTTAGGTTAAACGTGCGTGGGCCCATGTCAGGCCCTTCACTACGGCCAATGGCCTATTGTGGCTCACCCTATGGTTATATTTCTCCCAGTATATCTAATCTCTAACTAAATAAACGAGTACCTTGGGAGAACAATTTATGAGGTTTTCTGGCCCTACTGTTGTATTGCAAAATGTTGAAAATCTGATTCTGGCCACTGCAGGGCATGTACATAAAATGTGTTTAGCCGTTTCATCCTCCTCTATGCATAGACGGCACTCTGAATCTTGTGCAAGTCCGATTTTGTGCATGGGGATTGTGGTGTTTGAGTTTGCAGTGGCCAGTGGGCAAACCTACTATAACTCTGAGATGTGCTCTACCGAGTTCTAGTAGTTTGTCAGAGTCCTGTTTGTTCCTTGTACAAGCAATGAATGCTTTGGACTTGATTAGGCCCGGTAGACTACGCCAATACTCGAGTATTTTGTTGATGTTTCGGCCCCCCTCCCTTTTGCTAGGACGTCCGTTGTTTCGTTCCCTTCTAGACCCGTGTGACCTGGTATCCCGACTAGGTCAACGTTATTGCGTTGTGCAAGTCGGTTTAAGGATTCTCTGCAGTTCCATACTGCTCTGGATTGAAAGCTGTTGGATTCAAGTGCTTTCAGTGCTGCTTGACTATCTGAGAATATCTTTATTGTTTTTCGTGTGTGGTGCCGATTTTCCAGCTCTCTTGCACACATTTCAATGGCGTATACCCCTGCCTGGAATACCGTAGCTAGTTTACCCATACTGAATGAGCGTTTCACTACTGGGTTCATCCGCCTTCCAAAGTTTTATCGGTATACCAAAATTCATTTGCCCTACATAGGTTAGTTTCATTCCGAACCCATTCTTCTCTTTCAGGGAATTATTATTTACACAAATTTATTATAAGGAATAAGCCACAAATCATAAGGGAACATTATGAGACAATTGAATTTTTATTGCTAATTAGGAGTATTACCAATACTCAATTGAGAATTTATGAATTATCGAATAACTAATATTTCTGAACTTCCTAATCCTATTTCAACACATGGCAATTGTGCTATGGTCTGCCCCTACTTATGAAATCGTGGCGTCAGTTTTACTTGCGGTAAATTTCAGTTTACAAATTACCGTGGCATTATATAGATGACTGTAGCACCTAAAAATCGACAAAAAATTCTTAAAAAATATGAAATTGAAAGGTATTTGAGTGATGATTTTATTTGAGAAATAAAAAAAATTAATCCACTCGCCTATTATACTCGATCAATCGATAATTTTTTTGGGTCGGAGTAAACTTGAAATTCATAATTCGAGTTTTGTAGCCTTCAAGAAATTTTTTCGAAGGCAATTCTTTTCGTTTAATTTCCAGAAAACAGTATTTCGACAAAAAAACTCTCGTGTACTTATATGATTGAATGACAATAGATCTTCAGTTTCACAGAACTATAATATTTCAAATATATTGATTGTGGTGAAAAAATTTGAAATAAAGCTTGGTAGTAAAAAATATTATTACCAAAGGACCTTATACCTTATAATCTTGGTCCTTGGGTAATAATGATATTCCTTGATACCCTGAAGGTGTATAAATAACTATTATTCTGATTATTTCATAATATCCAAGATTTTCCGTTTGAAATAACTTTTAAATATTTTTGATATGAGAGAATTTTCTAGGAGTTTGCAAATATTTCAAGTATAGGTAAGTAGGTAAGTAAGTACGGAAGTAAGTAAGTAAGTAAATGAGTAAGTAAGTAAGTAAGTAATTATGCAAGTAAGTAAGGTTTCCTTCCATTCGGCGATACTCCCTAACGGCTTTCTTGAATCAGCATGTATCTACAAACATTACTATATAGAAAGTACATAATATGGATTATAGATAACATGACAGGTATTTATGTAAGAATGAGATAAGAATACTAAGGTAATCGTTTATTCAGACACGTGTCTATTTCTTTAAGAGCATGAGTTGAATGTTGAATATTCGCCCACACGATGTCCCAGACAATGAGTAGGTAAAAAAATCTAGACTTCAGGCGAATTTACTCTGAGATAACAAAGAATCGTAAAATTCAGTCATTCATATTGTGATTTGAAATTTGATCACTATACAGGGTGTCCCGAAATTACACAGAAAGATTTCAACCACGGATTCTAGGAACAGAAATAGTAACAAAAAATTCATAATATGAACATGAGCCCAGAAATGGCCCCCTGGGAAAGAGGGCCCGAAATGATTTTGTTTTGTAAATATTTCCAAAGCCCACTGTGTTGAGATGAGGAAATTTTGTACATGTATATTACTTTTCATGCCCGATTCGAAACTGTTGAGAATTTTCCGTAATTTTGATCAGGAATTATGAAAATATCATGTTTACTTAAAAATGATACTCTTCGATTTTAATAGTCTGCTGCCTAACAAAAATAGTGCTTTTTCCTTATAATAGGGTACCAAATTTTCCCAAAAATTATTTTTCGATGGAAAATACCCTTTTTTCATTATCTACTTGTGATGTTTGACTCATTCATGACGACAACTCCGTTGTTATCATCACAAACCTATTACTGCGACATATCATCTGTAAGGAAAAAAAAAGTAGTTTGTAACTAAGTCATAGTGAGCTATGACCTACTTTTGAAAAACTAAAGTTGGTGCTGATATCTCAAATTCTAGAAGAGTTGGCATAAATTTCATATTTTTTTCGAAATCACTCTGAAAAACTGCCATGAGAATGTGAAATTCCTATTTGAATATTTTCACAAATAAAGAAGTTACGGAGGAGACATGAAAATGATCAAAATCTGTTTTTTGCGTATAAAACAGAAACGAATAGATTTTATCAAAATATTTTTTCACATTATAGTTGGCCTTGACAAACTCCACATTTGGTGTCATTTTAACCGACCTCATATCTCTCACCGTTAAAAAGATACCCATGGTGAGCATGGTAAGTGGGACACACTGTATAGAATTCATTTATTTATTGGATTACAAGAGTTGAAACTGCATGCTTATGAAACATTTTTTACAGTAGGTATCAAGATGTTGAAAAATATGAATTCTTTTTTGGTATATTAGAAGAGATAAAAACAGAAAACAGCTACATTTCCAGGCTATATGCCATGATATATAATCATGAAATCGGCGTTGATATTTTGTGATACCAGTAAATTTTTCTGAGTAGAATCGATTTTACCGCTCTAGAACAACGGAGTTCAGACTACGGAACGCTCAGAATCTCCGCCCTAACAACACAGGGATGTTCTAGGAACGTACCCTTTTTGTCGCACGGTACAAGGACATAATTGGGGTATCCAGGGGTGGTTGTCCAGTGGATATCCGGCCCGGTACATCCATAGGTTATCCTATTCGTGTCCCTGGAATATCTGATATCTATTCACATCAGAGTCATTGACTTTCATCAAAATATTGAGTTGAATTTTCATGAAAATGTTTGTTTTTTTTTTTCGGTAAATAATTGTAATGAAAATAAAGAAAATTGTCTCAAAACTTCTCAAGAAATGACCATTTTTCGCAAACAGAAATCGTAAATGCATAATCCTCTCATTTTTAAACATCCACGAATGATAATAATAATTATACCCAAATCCTAACAAAGTTGTATTTATTCAGGTTTCTGCAGTTTGGTCCTGTTTAAAAATCTGTTTGGCACATAAATCTTCAGAAGGCATATCAGCCAATGGATTAAGGTGCGTGCCTGATAAGCTAAAAGTCCCTGGTTCAAACCCTTCTCGACCTAATTTTTTTTCTTTTGTCGAAGGGATGTCCCTGGAATATCCTTGCGACCTCCTAGGGATATCCTTTCTTCGTTCTTGGTACATCCCAGGGACGTACCAGACGGAAATCCCTTGAATGCTTTTTTTGTCAGCCAGCTGATGTCCCTGGGACGTCCCTAGTATGTACTCTGTCCCGACAAAGGATATCTCTGGGATGTCCTTGTATAAAATTAGGGACGTCCCTGGGAAGTCCCTAGGATGTACTTGTGTTGTTAGGACGACAAACGGCGACGGCTTGGCAGCCATATCGCCGACAATCGCACCGAGTCGGCCGCCCCACAAAAGTCAAAGGAAAATAATTGCACTCCAAGTTTCGGCAATACATAGGTCGGATCAATGTTCGGACGCAATGTTCCGCGTTTTTCATGTGATAAATATCAGTATAATTTCAATAATAAAAATTTCGAAAATTGTACATAGCTCTGACAAGAAAATGATTTCCGACAGTGAATTATATAGTTTGATTTTGTAAATCGACATAATGAAATATGAAATTCCACTCAAACAGACCCATTTAGATTCAGTTCTAGGGTAAAATACACTAAGGTGACAACACTGGTCCGGGTTCGTGAATTTCAATCAAATTTATGAGCAGCTTATATATTGATATCCGCTGACCAGTTTATTCCACAATCGCCAAAAATGGAAGCATATATTGTTGAGACATAAAATTTTGTGATTCACTCCAATTCGATTTCTATAAACTTTTTTCATGATCTCACGTCCGTGATGCGCTTGTTAGAAGCACATCCAGTACAACTATTACTAACAAATTCGAATTTACCGCCATTCGTGAATTAAAAAATGAGTGATAAATGTTTGCTATTGCCTCCGACAACCTTGAACGTGCGGAGGCATTCTTGAACAAATAACAAACTCACATTTCGAGCTCCATCTAATGGTACATCATCCAGTTCGCGCAAAACGTACTAGATTAGATGCTTTTAGAGCCGACTGCTGCGACGGTACCTCCATCTAGCAGAGAGTACCTGAACTACGATATTCAAGTTTTCTACCATCTAATTTAGAGAAGATATTATCCATACAAGATATATAGGCCTATTGTTTACATAAATTGAATATAAAAAAGGCTTTCATCTAAATGGTTACATTTCAAGAGCTGAAATTCTAGTGTGGGTTGCCCAAAATAATAACGCAGGGTATGAGACAAAATTTTACAATGTTTACATCTTCTTGATCTTCTGCAGCTTTCTTAATCGAACGAAATTTGCCTTCAAAACTATCCAAACCCGAGTCGGAACTTTCGTCTTTATGATGATTCAATCTATTTGGCAATCGGACTTTTAATAACGCCGAAATTCATTTCATAGTAGAGGTCTGCATTCCAGCCATTGTGAAATGACCTTGGTTACGCCCCTCTTAATTCTACCAACCATGAGCGTCGCTGAAAAATATCATATCTATGTCTGTCAACATCAAAATATTTGGGTTTTTGTTAAAAAATGTATACTTCATCTCCCTATATCTCTAACCGTTTCAAAGCATATGCTCATGGGGGAGATTATGGTATTTTTTCTGTGACGGGAAAAAAGTTTGGCATTTCATATCTGTTGGTAGGTTATAAAATGTCACTTTTCATAAATTTCTTTTTTCCCATGGGAAAAGAATGATAAAGATGCCTACAACGCAGGTGTCACTACTGTTGGAAACTTAACATTTCACGTCGATAATTTTCAGATTTCAATATAATGTCTCCTCAATATTGATTCGTCCATCATGATAACTTTTTACATAACGTTTCGATTTTCGATCATTTTCAGATTGCAGCATGCAGCATAGCGAACACGATAGTGATACAAGCGGGAATAAATATGGCTTTCAGTGCAGTGCTACTGCCCCAATTGCACGAAACCAAAAGTGATATAGACATATCGAAGTCACAAGGCTCATGGATTGGTGAGAGTTAAATATTTTAGCGTCATTTCCTATCAGAAGAATTAGAGCATTCATTTATCTTCGATATATCAGCTGAGATCAACTTAATTTTGTAATTTTTTCTTCTCTGTTTCTGTGAGGCGAGCCATTATAAAAAACTCTCGAATCTCTCAATTTTCAACTCCACTTTCGATCACTTGACACAATGACTAGCAATTATCGGAACTTTTGATTAATTTAAATACAATATAAGTTGACGAAAATAATAATATAATAATGTTTATTCATCATCCTCATCATCAAAACGTACAGCTACATAGTTATGTGAATAAACAACAACTCCACTAAGGCAGGGCTTGGATTGCAGATCACTAGAAAAAGTAAATATATATGAGAACGAGATCGAATTGCAAAAGTATCAGTAATGACATTGGTGATATAAGGTAATGAATGATGAAATGAAAATTAAGTATGATATAAGGTTTAAAAAAATGATACATGTGAGAAGAGGTTAAAACTAACGAAAGAGCAAGTATCAAGAAAAGAGTAGCTAGCCGGGTATAGGGTCAATTAATTTATGAATGGTGAATCTGTCTGTACTGAGTAGGTGTGATTTCACTTTTTTTTTAAGAAAATATGGTGTGTGCTTTTCTAATTTCCAATGGCTATTTGCTAGGTGTAGGATTAGTGTATTTGAAGAATATCTTGTGGTGAGAGTTTCGTTTACTTTGGATCTTGTATTATGGGTGTGATCTACATAATTCAAGAAATTCTGATTTTTGAACTGTTCGTTTACAATTTTATGAGGGAATAATTGTCTCAGATCGAGCATTTCAGATTCTTCAAACAATAATTTTGATGCATATTTGAATGGCTTGTAGAGAAGAATTCCTAGATATTTTTTCTGTAACACATCTAGTTTTTTCAAATGGCTGGACGCTACCCCACCCCATCCAAGAATTCCATACGTTAATCGTGATTCAATAACGCATAATGAATAATTCTCATTTGGGTGTCTGCCAATGATCACTCCTGAATATTTGATAGTGATATCATTGCCATTGGTAACAATTTTCAGCGATTCATTCATATGGTGGCAAATATCAAATCTAGATAGCGTTTTTTACTTGTCGCATTCCATGGTCGCACTGGTTCGAACTTTTAACAGACTATGCGTGTTTTGCTTGGTCTACTGGGGATGTTAAGAGCGAACCGATGTCTAGAAACGATTTCCAGTGGCTTGCAAACTTGCTAGATACTAGCTTAGAGGTCGAATTTTCGTGAATGTGCTTGGACGATGGTGCGGTTCTCATAACCTCTATTCGTCAGGTGGATTACGAATACGGATAGGAGTGACGATGAAGAATCATTCAAAATACCAACCAATATCTTGCAGGGAATAATACTTGCTAGAGATGTTAAGGATAGATTTGGTAGAGATAAAAATTGCAAAGAAAATTCCACACCTTACATTTTCGACCAATTAAAAGCCTGTATTTTGTATCGTTACCATAGCAATTAGACAAATTTCCGTAAATGTTTTGCTCCTCCTTGGGGAAAGAAGCATGAAATTACATAGGTACAATGACATTTACATTCAACTTCAGATTATGTCGGAATCATCCTTCAGCTAAATGAATTTGTAGAAAACTGAGAGATTCAGCTAATATCCACTTATTTTTTATTATATCATTTAACTGAAGTCGTTTAATTATATTTCATATAACCTAATAAAATGACGTGAGGTAATTTCATTGATACTGAATAGTCCTTCGAGATTCTTGTGAGAAAATATATGTCTACCAACTTATTTTTATTATTTTGTGTGATTAAAGTAAGTTAATAGTTATTTAACCAACTAGTGTATTAATGAGGGCGATTAATGATCGAGATATTTTAACGTGCGAGAGAAACGAGCGCGTTAATGTTCGAGATCATTAATCGCCTTTTAATATACAAGTTGGTTACAAAAATTTTCCGTCCACTATATTTCTCATTTCTCCTGCAATGAAGAAAACTTGGTTCGCGAATTCATCATTCATCTGGAAACTGCTAAGAATCACCCAGTAGCCTTGTCACTGACATTAGTGTCATTTGACATTTGTCGAAATGATCAACATAGAAAATAAATTCCTTGTGTTAGAAAACAGGGATTAAAATCGTGTCAGAAACTTGGAAAGGTGAACCCGTTAACAGAAAATCTTCAATGAAATCCATATTTTCGATTTAAATGCAAATTCCGTGAGTTATAGCATGAACAATGAATGCACGCGGTGTACGTTTGGTTGCCTATGAAACAATCGTACATTAATAGACAAATCGTTCATTAATAGGGGTCATTAATGAACGATTTCATATACATTAAACTTAGTCGTTAATACGAGGTCGACGGAAATAGTTATTTAACCAACTAGTGTATTAATGAGGGCGATTAACGATCGAGATATTTTAACGTGCTAGCGAAGAGAGCGCGTTAATGTTCGAGATCATTAATCGCCTTTTAATATACAAGTTGGTTACAAAAATTTTCCGTCGACTATATTTCTCATTTCTCCTGCAATGAAGAAAACTTGGTTCGCGAATTCATCATTCATCTGGAAACTGCTAAGAATCACCCAGTAATCTTTTCATTGACATTAGTGACATTTGTCGAAATCATCAACATAGAAAATAAATTCTTTGTGTTAGAAAACAGGGATTCGTGTCAGAAACTTGGAGAGGCGAACCCGTTAACAGAAAATCTTCGATGAAATCCATATGTTCGATTTAAATGCAGATTCCGTGAGTTATAGCATAAACAATGAATGCACGCGGTGTATGTTTGGTTGCCTATAAAACAATCTTGCATTGATAGGTAAATCGTTCATTAATAGGGGTCATTAATGAACGATTTCATATACATTAAACTTAGTCGTTAATACGAGGTCGACGGAAAATGTGTTTCATTCAACCTTACAACATTATATGTAGATGTGAATTTCATTAATACTACATACTGCTTGGAATTCTTTGTGACAAAATATATTTGCACCAACTAAAGTGGAATAAAGTAAGTCAAGAATAATAGTTTAAACTGCAACCAACCGCCTTAGTAATATTTTGCGTAACTAAAGTCGGTATTTTGTATTTTATTTGGTGTAATCGTATCCTAGTATTTTTTAAATAATATTTCGATGGGACCTTTTTTTTCGAATACAACTCTAACTTCAATCAAATACAGATTTTTTTTATCGAACCCCAATAATTTTCTCGAATTTACAAAATATTCGTTCTCGAAACATTTTTCGCTAATAATTGAAGCGTTTGTGGTAGTAAAAATATCCCTTTATGAAATACCTACCCAATGTCTTTTGTACATCCTCGAGGGCGCTCTGTTAATTGGCTAGAGGAAAAAGCTATAAATGGAATCAGGTGCCACTTTCAACAATCATTCACTTCCTAGGCGCATTATTTGAACCGTATCTACAGGGCGATATAGATATTTGTGTGAAATAAAATTTGACAGTATCATGATTTTTACTAATTTATGGTAGGTACTGTAAAGAACCCAATGGTTGTGTCTGATAGTAACAATCGTAGGTTAATTCAAAGATTATAATATAATGAGAATTGTACTTGCAATACTTACTCAACTAATCTATTATAATAAGTCATAATATATAATGATTTCATAACGCATTATGATGAATCGATATTGAATTTGATTCATAATTTAGAATATAATGTTTGATTCTGGTTTTGAAATAAGGGATGAATGATACTATTCATTCTCTTGATTGTTTCAGGTATCTTGATCTTGTGATATAAAAATATACCATGTTCGCGAACATACGTAGGTACTGCGCAAATTCAAAATAGCTGACGACTACTGTCAACATCAAATTTTGAGTAGGTACGATTGTTGTGAAATTGAACATTTATTGATGATGGTGGGATGCATGGATGAAGTAGGAATGAGATATATAATATGAAAATCTTTGACAAACAATTTTTGACACTCTATTCTAAACAGTTACCCCGTCACTTGCTCATTAGAGTCAATAAAATAAGACATTAAGATATTTTCAAGATTACACATGACTTTACTTATCTTGGTGGTGATAACATGAATTTCATTTTTTTTACAGCGAGCATTGTGACCATAGCTTTACCACTGGGAGCACTAGTTATTGGGCCATTGATGGATAGGTATGGAAGGAAGAATATGTGTATGCTGGCTAATATTCCCTTTTCACTCTCATGGCTCTTACATTATTATGCGACGAATGTGTGGTACATTTATATAGCTAGAATAGTTGCTGGCTTCAGTGGAGGTAAGCCTTTAAGAAATGGCGAATTCTTGTGTTATCTATGGAAATAATGCTTTATTTTAGCAATACATTTATTAATCATATGACAGGAAAATGTAACGGCATCCGCTTTTCAAGATACAAGGTGTTCAAAAATAGTTATTTATTATACAAGGGAAAAAAGTAGTAGATTTTAGTTCGAAGTTGTTTTGTCTCCCGACACGTAGCGGAGGGAGACAAAAAAGGTTTTTATATAAATGATGTATCTTCTAATATTGTAGGACTTCTTAGCATAGGCTGAAGTTGGACATTGCATATGTCAGAAACATGTTCCTAATTTGATGTTTTCAAATTAAAAAATCGTGGAGATGACTTTGTGCTTTTCTCATTGGATATGAACAATTGATATTTTTTTTTGTCTTCACAGGGCGATTGAATTTAAGTGATAATATTCATACAAGAATAATGCATTCTTATGAAAAAAATATGGAATCGTGTATTCATGGAAATGAAGGGCATTTTGAACACTTACAATTGATTCAATATTTTATGCTTTCAATCGTATTTATATCAATATTTGACTTGTGATTCTTTGTTTAATCAATAACTTCACCACAAGGGTAATCATATTGTTTTTGAATCTGAATGATTAGGTAATTCATTTCAATTATACTAATTTTATACTAGCATCAACTATTAGGTATTCCATTATTTTCAAATCAAAATATTCCGAAAACGGTACACAGTATTGAGTTTTATCAAGAGTACCTTTTTGACTTTTGTGATTCTTTGTTTAATCAATAACTCCACCACAAGGGTTATTATATTGTTTTTGAATCTGAATAAATAGGTAATCGATTTCAATAATACTTATTTTATACCAGCATCAGCTATTAGGAACTCCATTATTTTCAAATCAAAATATTCCGAAAACGGTACACAGTATTGAGTTTTATCAAGAGTACCTTTTTGGTTTTAAATTGAATGATGTTCAAGTTCACATGAAATTTGGTCTAAAAAATCTAACCACAAAAAAGTAATGTTTGAAATTACTCCGTACGAAACCTGTAACTGCGCCCTCTATGAGAGTCTGATATGAAAATAAATTCATACGATGTGTTAGCTTCCCGAACACATCCATATAAAATTGCATTACAATTGTTAACTAGTGTTGCAATGAATACACGTAGTTCGTTAAGTAAAAGTATATTCGACAGATCGAATGACAAAAGTTCGAATTCATTAATTAATGACATTCCTTGTCTCCATTGTATATAGGGTGATTGGTTCATCCTAATAACAATGTTGCCAATGGTTTTGACAGAATCATGAAAAATGTGTAATGAAATATTTTTTCCACCACTTACCGGAAAATTCATCATTATTCGAAGATTTCCTCTAATGAGAAGTAACACTTTTCAACCCTAGGTGAATAATGATAAATTGATAAATGGTTCCTAGGTAGATAAAACAATCAATAGTTTCAAATAATATATGCTATACAGGGTAACTCACGGTCGATGGTACGTTAGACGTTTATGGAGAACGGGACATAGGATCATTCTGAAATTTTGGTTACTCACGTAGTTGCTCTTGGTCTATCGATCTAAAATATTTTTAACTCTGCAGCGTTGCCGCTTCTATCGAAAAGTAGCAACAACTTTGTTATTTTAAATGGAACACCCTGTATTTTATTGCATTTTCAGATTCTCTCTGAAGAGCCGATTTCATCGATGTATCACACTTGGGGTCTAGCGGAAATGATTACAGAGATATAGGGTGTGAAAAATCGACATTTTTCAACTTTAGGAATTTTTTCTGTCGAAACTATTCATTATTGGCCAAAACGGCTCACATGTCCCTATCTCAACTTTTGATCAACTATCTACTGACATTTAATTGAAACAAATACAGGGTCGTGCAGAATTCAGAATCTTGATCACGCGGTATATGTCCCAATTAAATATCAGTAGATAGTTAATCAAAAGTTGAGATAGGGACATGTAAGCCGTTTTGACCAATAATGAATAGTTTCGACAAAAAAAATTCCTAAAGTTGAAAAATGACGATTTTTCACACCCTATATATCTGTAATAATTTCCGCTAGATCCCAAGTGTGATACATCAATGAAATCAGCTCTTCAGAGAGAATCTGAAAATGCAATAAAATACAGGGTGTTCCATTTAAAATAACAAAGTTGTTGCTACTTTTCGATAGAAGCGGCAACGCTGCAGAGTTAAAAATATTTTAGATCGATAGACCAAGAGCAACTACGTGAGTAACCAAAATTTCAGAATGATCCTATGTCCCGTTCTCCATAAACGTCTAACGTACCATCGACCGTGAGTTACCCTGTATACACAAATAGATACCGATTCACATGCAACCAATGAAAAATGAATTCTTTGAACCAAAGCTGAAGGCAATTTTTGAAGTATGTAAAGGAAATTCACAACACAAATCATACGTGAACTATCTTTCTCATGTGTGAATAGGCTTATATCACAAAAAAAATTTATTTCATAATTCGATAGAACTCATCCAAACTAGCTCACTACCGCAAACCGTTTCTTGCTGTGAGCTCCCTACGTTTTATAAAAAATATTGAAATCCCCGATTTTTCGGACCTCTGAAAACGAGGCGATGATGTGACGTCAAAACCCTAACACTGAAACAAGACTATTCCAGACAGAGATAAATGATATATGATTTCTGACAGAGTGAATTAGCTCGAGATCACAGTTGAAAGTATTAATATATCAGTTGCCTCAGTCTCCGTCGGGCGTTTGGTATTTTCTTTTAACTATGGCGAGATGAGGTTTCTACGTCATAAGAGGGTCCGTTTTCAGAAGGTACTATTATTTATGTCCAAAAATAAAACATTCCAGTTAATTTTTCGATCGAATTATGTCGTCAATCATTATTTATGTATAAAAGGATCATTATAAACATGGTTTGAGTTAAAAGTTCTACTAAAGGTGTACACGCCCATTAGACCAAGAATCGAATAACCATGACTTTCGGTATTAAAACATTACATTCGTTTTTGAATCATGATTCTAGCTATCATAGGATCCGAGCAATCGGACCATGACCATAGGACGCATATATAGGGTGGGTCACGGTCGATGGTACCTTAGACGTTTACGGAGAAGGGAAAATAGAATTATTCTGAACATTTTTTACCGAAGTAGTTGATCTCAATTTATCGATATAAAATATTTTCAGCAATGCAGCGTAGCCGCTTATACCAGAAAGTAGTAGCAACTTTGATATTTCAAATGGAACATCCTATAGTTCATTGCATTTTTAGATTCTCCCTGAAGAGCTGATTAAATCAATGTCTCACACTTTTGGTCTAGCGGGAATGATGAAATATAGGGTGTTCAAAATCAAGATTTTTAACTTTATAATTTTTTTTGTGTCAAACTATTCATTATCGGTGAGAACGGCTCTCATGTCCCTATCTTAACTTTTTATTTACTATCTACTGACATTAAATTGAAACAGATACAGGGTGATCAGAATTCTGAATCTTCAACCTCCCTGTATTTGTTCAAATTTAATGTCAGTAGATCGTAAATCGAAAGTTAAGACAGTGACATGAAATCCGTTTGGACCAGTAATCGACACACAAAAAATCCAAAACTAGAAAACTCGATTTTCCACACCCTATATCTTTATAATCATTCCCAAGTGTGAGGCATTGATGGAATCAGCTCTTCAGGGAGGATCTAAAAATGCAATGAAATACAGGGTGTTCTATTTGAAATATCAAAGTTGCTACTACTTTCTGGAAAATATTTTCTATCGATAGACCAAGAGCAACCACTTGGGTAACCAGATGTTCAGAATGATCCTATGTTCCGTTTTCCGTAAACGTCTAAGGCACCATCGACCCTGACTCACCCTATATACTGACGCACTAAGGCCTCACCCTGTATGTAAAGAACGTTGACTTGAATTGTTGAAAATGTTCGAGTCACTTCAATTGGCTCTGTAACGAATGAGCGCTGAACAAAATAGCGGTGAACAAATCAGCGCGTAACGAAAGAGCGCTGTAATGAAATAACGTGTAACAAAAGAGCGTGTAACAAATGAGCGCTGTAACAAAACGGCGCTTGTAACAAAACGGTGCTGTGACAACAGAGCGCTATTACGAAAGGGCGCTTTACAAAATAGCGAGTAACAAAAGAGAGGTAACGAAACAGCGCTGAACAGAATAACACTGTGACAAAAGAGCGTGCAACAATACAGCGCTACAATAAAACAGCGATTGTAACATAAAGGCGCTGTGATGAAAAAGAACTACATATAAAAAGTGCGGTAACAAAATAGCGCATTGTTAAGAAAATGCGTACTACACTCTCGCCCTCAATTTCAACCAAACAACTATATTTATTTAATAAAAAATACGATATATGGTCAAACAGTGAACATTCAAGTACTGAAAAACAAGCTAACATTTTCAATTCTCTTAAAAATATCATCACAATGACAGATTATTTGCAATAAAACATAGGTAATTTTCAACAGTCGTCAAGGAATATTCTTTGGAAATATTTATAAGCCGCTGATTTATTTGGTAATATCTGCTTTTTGTACAAGTTGGGGATCTGAATCCGGTCCTGAATCTTGTTATGAATATTTCATTGGTGCTTTGTTCCTGCTTCAGTTTATTTAAAAATCTTGCCATTGATGGATGGTGACAGTCTATAGTTTGCTGGAAGGCATTATGCCAAGCTTCCAAGGAATTATTTGTCCTAGGTAGATGGGATTGCAGTCTGTCATACATATTCCAAACAGAAATGGAAAAAACGGGACGAATACCTTCTGTCCTTGTGCCTACGTAAGTGGACTCCCAATAGTTCACGACGGTTTCCATTTCTTTTGGAAAACCTACTTCTTTCAAAATTTCGAACGCAAACGGTACATCTCTCACTGGCACGAACGCGAGAGCCAAGAGAAACTTGCAATGCTTTCTTATCTCTTCCTGCTCCTTATACTTGGCAACAAGACTTGGCGTTTTTTGTATTTGCCTCCATAGATTTCGAGATAAATGAAAAAAACATCCCACCACTTCTGCGTTTGGAAATACCTCTTCGATCGCACGGTGGGCTGCTTGCTCAAAATCCGATAATATGCTAGAGGGTGTGAGAGTAAGATTCTTCCCCAGCTCTTTTATCTTGGTAAACAATCTTATATAAGTATTTTTAGTTTTGTTACACAGCAATGCATATATCATAGGAACTGCCTTACTGTCTACTAAGCAATGAATGGTGTATACTTGGTAAAACAATTTTGGGGCAACTTTGAACGTGCCGTCTACACACCAGTCGCCAAATTCATGTAATAAAGCCAGATTGTTATACGTACCGAATATTATCATTCGGTTTTGATCTTCATTTCCTGAGTCGTACAGTAGGAATGTATCTCCTCTGAATGTTTTTTTGAATTCTCCTGGTATTTCTATTTGTTGAATGTTTGTAGCTGATATTCCATCATTTTGCAAAGTTTTCTTTCTTTCTCTGTGGATCATCATCCTCGCAGCGTCATAGCTCTGTATGAGTACAGCTGCTTCAGGAGTGACGTCTTGCGAGCACTGTTGAATAATACTTCTCGGACGTTCGTCAGTGGTTTTTGCCATGTCTCTTATATTCTGTTTGATTGTTAATGCTTCTGTTTGTTTAACACATGGCCCATGATTATGTTCTCTGGTCACCTTATGAGAACTGTTTTTCGTTGAGGCTCTGCCTCTACAGGTGCCCTTTGCGCATCTCCATGTCTTTGAAGCGATATTTGTTTTATCTTTCCTATATCTATATCCTTCAAATATCAACATTTCTCTGCCCTTTTGGGATTTCACATATTCTGCCATTTCGACTGATTTGAAATTAGGTAGTCACTTAAAGCGTCACTGTCATGAATTGTTGATATTCTCTATAGTGGGGGATCGAACTTGAACGATGGAAATTTGCTTCTACAGATACGTAATTGACTATTTCATCAATTCCAGAATTTTCCACATCCCGTGTGGCGAACACGTATCATCATCAAACTTAGAGAACCTAACTGTGTTTCCTTTTCAAAAGAATATTTTTGTATTATTCATTATATTGTATGTTGTGTTGTCCTTATGTAACCGCTAATTTGTACAGCGCTCTTCTGTTATAGCGCTATGTTATCACATCGATATTTTGTTACGCGTTATTTTGTCACAGCGCTCTTTAGTTAAGCGCTGTTTTGTACAGCACTATTTTGTATAGCGCTCATTTATTATAGCGCTGTTATGTTAGAAGCGCTGTATTGTTACACGCTCTTTTGTCACAGCGCTATTCTGTTCAGCGCTGTTTCGTTACCGCCGTTTTGTAACTCGCTATTTTGTACAGCGCTCTTTCGTAACAGAGCCACTTCAATTATGTGATATCATGTATGTTTCAGGTTTAACGACCGTTGCGTTAGTGTATGTCAGTGAAGTGTCACATCCCCAGTTGAGGCCAATGCTACTTAGTATGAACAGTGTGTTCGTCACTTTTGGAATACTGCTGACGTGTATTTTAGGTAAAGTTGAAGTTAAATGAACGAAATGTTCAACTGGTCATCTATCATAAGTTGAAGACTAGCAGCGAAGTTTAAACCATGGTTTACGATCTGACAGAGGTACGGATTATGACGCTTCTGATAGCTGTCAGAACAGTTACTGTCTTTTTTATGTTGGACATTTTAATTTTTCTCAGCTTTAGGAAGATTTTATCTTTTTTGCAGTTTCCCACATGATTATACATCTATTATCCACTGTCAATTCCTGACACATTTCATAACTTCAAGCTGAATTGATTATCTCAGCAGATCAATGAGATACTCAATTGTATTTTTTTTGTCTCATGGCGGAAGAATGTTTTATATTTTCTAATACTGTAACTAGTGTAACCTTGTCATTGTCAGTTATAAGATCTAGTCTGTTAGGCAATGGATCTGTTTCAGTGAAAAAAAATGTTTCATTATTTCGAAGTACTAACTCTAACTAGTCTACTATCACAAACCGTTTATCCCTCAGAGCACTGTACATTTTTCAAATAATTATTGAAATTCACCATATTTCATGAAATAAAAAATGCTGGAAAACGCGTGACGTTATCACCCGTGAACAATCCAATGCAACCATATAAGATTCGACTTACGTACACAACACACAACTGAAGAATCAGGTAATATGGGTATTTTCTTGGAATATTCGCAGTATTTGTTTGATTTGACCCTGGATTTGACTACATGATAGGTTTTGAAGATGAAGGTGCCACACGAGGAAGACCTTAGAAAGTTAGGTTATAATTATTTTCTTTTCTCGATAAAAAGTTCAAAACGCCTGTACTAGGTTTATTTTTTGTCTGAATTATAGAGAACATGTGTCTTCTTACATTAACCATGTTGAATGGCTAAAAATGCATAATAGAAGAGAGCTACACTTTGCAATATTCATTTACAAATTAATCTCAAAGCAAACGCCCTCCTACCTCCTAAATACATTTCTACATCGACGTGAGGTTCACACGATAAATCTCCGTAACATGGAAGAATTAACTATGCCCTTACATAGAACCACTTTCTTTGAGCGGTCTTTTACTTATCAGGCAGTAACCTCATACAATTCTATTAGTCAAGATCTGAAACAGTTGTCTTTACCCACCTTGAAGAATAAACTCAAACAGTCACTTCTGGATGAGCAGCGAAATACATAATAAAAACATACTTGTACTCATATAACTTATATACATAGAATTTAGAGTTATTATCATCTTGTTTATGTACCTATAAATCACCATATCTAAATTGTATACCAACTTTGTACAAAAACCTTGGTTGAGTGGAAGAATAGCTCTGCTAAACCGTTACCACCGATAAAACAAGGCCAGCAGACACTGACGTAAACAGCTCGTGACGTCGCATACTCAGGCCATCTTCCAAGGCATTCGCGTCGATCGATCGTCAGTTTGTTTTTGTTTAAGAACGGTGGCGTAGGTAAATCGCGTGTGCTCGAATTCTCTTGTTGTTTATTCATCAAAATAATTGGCGGAGAAATTACTGTTTTGTGAAATATTTCGTGTTGTGATAGGCGAAATAACAATGCCTTACAAGTGTTGTGTTCCCTTTTGTCGGGGGAATTATGTGGGTGGTCCAAAAGTTCATGCTTTTAGTTTCCCGTTGGACAAGGAACTATCGAAAAAGTGGGTACATGCAATTCACCGCAAGGATTTTACGACTCCATCTAAGTACAGTAAAGTATGTGAATTACATTTTACTAAAGATGATATTATTACTTCATCTACTGCAACCGATTCAAAAACTGGCAAAACTGTAACAATAGATTTGAAAATTCCTAGGCTCAAACGAGATGTTATTCCCACTCAATTTCCCAACTGTCCATCTTATTTATCGAAAGATGTAAAATTACTCACAAGTCGTGATGAAAAACTTGAGATACTAGAGACTAAAAATTTGGCACAAGCACTTACCAAAAGTAAAACTGAATTCGAAAATTACCAAAAATCATTTTGGTACACAAAATTTCAAGAATTTCTAGTTGTATTAGAGTCTTTTCAGTTGCCCGAAAAGTGGTTCAAAATTATCGATTTGCAAAAAGTCACATTATTCAAACTGTCTTATTCTCTATAGGGCCCGTAATTACATATTCGGTTGTGATTGATTTTGTTTTGAATGTGGAATCATTTTTGTATGACCTAGCGATACAAACATCTCTAAAAGCCAATCTGAAAACACCTTTTATCTCTAATAATATCAATCAAATCAAGGAATTACTAATTGAAATAGATAAAAACGAGATACATAATTCGGGAAAATGTCTTGATAATCAGAAAAAGATGGTTTTGAAACATATTTCGAATGCATTGGACTCTTTGGTTTCTGACTCAATACATTCTCAAATTCCTTTCTGAAAACGGTCATTTGCCTCGTGGCAATGAATGCAGAATTCATTCATTCATCAAATTGCAACTATTATATTAACATGTACTACAAACACTCTACTTAAAAATTACTGTTTCAAGTCTAACGACCAATTGGGTAAAAAATCCAAAAACAGGAAATTGAAAACACTCACTGGCTAATTTTTTAGGTAATAGGAATTCTCCAAGATAAATATAGGTAATTTAGGTATAACAAACGGCATGTCTATCAAACTAAAATACATTTTCCCCAATTTTCTTTCGATCAATCTCATGATAAGTTTATGTTCTGCGGGCCCTGTATAAGTAGGTGTGAAGTTTACCTCTAATGAGATTGAATCACTACAATTTTTGCCAATATATTTAATTCGAATGGGTTGCTGTAGGTGGGTATTTGTGTTTTATTCTGGTTCTTGCTTTGAAACTTCGTTTTTCCATAATAAATCGAATGGGATGCGAAGAAGGGCTCAGTTGACGGCTGGCATCCTCTTTCAACCGGAAGCCCTTCAAAAAAAAAGCAAAATCGGCTCAATAATGATCTAAAACTAAAATCGAAATACGCGGTCGCCTTATAGCGCTATAAGCGCTTGTCGTTTCGAGCCGCTGGTTAGGCCTGACTAAGTGACGTCACCCACGGAGCATGCAGGCCTTGTTTTATCGGTGGTAACGGCTAAACTCCGCCAAGTAAAATAAAGGCCATTTATTATTATTATTATTATTATTATATTTCTGTGAACTCTGCCAGTGTCACAAGATAGTTTGGGATATTCTTATTGGCACTGAAGCATCCTGCAAGATATACGCACCTGGCAAGAATAATTTTTCTATGGAGAAACCGTGTGAATGAATATGCATATAGATTCATGCGTATTCAACAACGAGAGGAAAAAAGCCTCGTTGCCCCACCTACTCGAGTATGGCATGTGTAGCAAACGATAATCCCTTCAGTCAGGTCGAAAAATGGACTCATTCGAAGGAGGGTTTAGCGCGATACGAAGCGTATGGCAATGTCGCTTTTTCAAAATGCCCATGCCGCAAAGTTGAAATAGGGACATGTGAACCGTTTTGGCCGATAATGTATAGTTTCGACACAAACAAATCCCAAAGTTGAAAAATCTCGATTTTGAACACCCTATCTCAGTAGTTATTTCCGATAGACCCGAGTGTGATATATCGATGGAATCAGCTCTTCAGGGAGAATTCAAAAATGCAATGAAATACAGGGTATTCCATTTGGAATAACAAAGTTGTTGTTACTTTTTCATAGAAGCGGCAACACTGCATTGCCGAAATTATTTTAAATGAAGAGAGCATATTGCAGTATATAAGCATGCATATTTTCATGTATATCTCCCATCTGATTCTTGATATAGAGATAGTGTAAGCTCGTCGTGACATACCCTGTATACATTAGACTTTTGTGATTTTGACATAGCGCGTGATCTTGTTACATTAGAAGCCTCACATTTTAACTAACTACTTTGTTCCAGGTTTATGGTTCAAGTGGCGTACAATGGCTTTAATTTATTTCGTCCTTGCTGTTACTATCTCATGTGCCACATTAATTTTGCCTGAAAGTCCTCATTGGTTAACGGTCTTCAAAAATGATCCCCAGGGCACGGCAAAATCATTGAGTTGGATATATAGCAACAATTTGGTAATTACATTATTCTGAACTAATGTGGTCAATGTGAGTAACAGGTTTTTTGAAGTATTTGGGCCATGCCTTTTAACTGATACCATGATGGAAATTAAACCAGTATAAGTTTCCCCACATTTTGCAGTTAATGGCAATACAAACTAACAGTCCTAACTTGAATACAATTGAATTGCTTCTGAAGATTCAAATAAACATTCCAAATCGATCAGAACGATTCTGTAGCTGTAAATGTCATTTTAATGAATTAATTTTCAAATAAAGTTGACTTATCTGCTCATTACTATCAATCTTGTGAAAGAATTTTGAAACAGAATAATCAATACACTATATTATTTTCATCTTGGGCTATTGAACATAGCATTATTAGTGCATTGTCTAGCTCACTAGATTTTTTTCTCCATATTTAGCAGACAATGATTAGTGTCTTCTTAACTAAAGTTGGTAGAGCACTGCATAACCTGGAAATATAGTACCAAACGTTAACAGCTAATAGAGAGTTGCCACGAACGTTAACGTTAGCGTAGAAATTGACAGCTACGCATGCGCATTTTTCAATTCTTCACGTTCGCGTTGGTAGTGGGCTTACGGGTGTACGTTATCTCACGTACTTTCACGTATACCTTAAATATCAACGTACGTTAACCGAACCAAACTCGAAATATGCCGATGAGTCAAAATCATCAAATTCGGGATCCTTAAGGAGTTCTGCATCAGGGCAACCTTCCATTTTAACACGAATAAATGTTTTGATCTAAACAAACAACCAAAACTGACCAATACAAACCGATAACATAATTTGTTATAACGTTACGATGGCAGTGACGACTTCAACTCAATTTGAAGACAATACGTAAACGTTATTTTTCGTACTTTAACGTTTACGTGGAGGTCTACGTACAGTGATTACTTCAACTCTCTATTAGCAGAGCTGCCATTTGAGAAAATTCGTAAAGTGCATTTTTGCAAAATGGAATAGCAGAGAAATGTGTTTCATTGCAGCGATGGATAAACTGAAATCAATAAGTATATCATAATCATTGAGTACCTATATTCTATTCTGAGGAAAAATACTATTTTTTTATTTTGTTCATTTTTTACAAGACCTATGAAATGATAGACTGTTTGTTCTAGTGAATCTCATCAAAAAGTGTTATAGTTTCCTTTAAAGCATTTTTATAATTATTCTTTCAGTTGGAAGGGGAAGTCTCGACATCGTTTTCGAACGCAATGGGTTAAACGCTTGCATATTGCATACGGCCGTATGTCGAAACGAATTTGAGATTGCTATTCCAGAGGCGTGTTATACTGGAATACTTGTACTTGATTCATTATTATGACCACAAAAATTTCAATTACTCCTTTTTTTAGCCAACCTACGCAATGGCTGTAGTTCGAAGGAGGTGCATTTTAGGACACATGTTTATATGAAGAAAAAGTCTTATTTTGATCCCAACAATACCTTCTTGAAATATTTACATCGAATTTTGAATCACCCCGTATAAAGTTCACAAAGAATTCAGTTTTTAAAATGCGATAACTTTTTTCCAAATCAACTGATTTTCAATCGGATGCGTCCTTTCTGTTTTAGATTCATTGTTCGAAACTTTTCGAAGTTTTCCAGTAATGACATACCAAGTGGTCAAAAAGAGTGATACATAATCGAAAAACTTTAGGGGCCCCCGTATTCCCCAGGGATTTTTTCATCCCTCTGCAAATGAACTTTCTCAAATCTTCAAGTCAATATCTCGGAATGATACAGGATGTGAAATATCGGTATTTTTCGATATTCTGTATTTTCATGCATTTCTGTGGATTTGAAAAAGTGCAGGCGATATTCAAACTGTACTGCACTGTAATACGATCGAATTCATTCCTGGTGAAGTTATCCACCTGGCTTTAAGAGCGGCAAAACTTTCGACAACAACAAAATGAGCGTTTTTCGAATAATGTGTGAGATTTTGTGAAATCGTCTGCTCAGATTTCATAATTTCACGAGCAACATTGCTCACTTAATTCATGGAGCACTTCAGATTATTGATTCACTCCATGAAAGGAAGAATATGATAATTGAAAAACTATATTTAGCTAATACGACATTTTCAGTGAAAATTTGTTATGAACTTTCAACATAATTTAGATATGTCTTCGAATCTTTCAATTTAAGGTACTTGTCGCTGATACAGTCTTACTAATAATCCCAATTTAATCTTGAAAATTGAACAAAAGTTGAACAAAGATCAAGTGCACCGCGACGAGAAAATTGTAAATGTACAGAGGTGAGGTCAGAATAGCTAGTGTATTTTGATATTCTTTCAATCCCTTTATTTTTTGAAGTTGCCATTCAATATAGTACACAGTACACCTTGAGCTTTCTAGGGTTTCAATTATATGCATTTACTTAATGTCACTCTGTATAATATAGAGCATGGTAAAAGCTTTTGACTCAGAGTCCCAGTTGCCCACATTGACCCTAATATACCCAACTATAATCCATTCCAACTAAGAAGACAGCGTTGGAATCCATAAGAAGCGTTAAGCTTCGCTTTGATTGGTTAATATTGGAGGTCGATTTTTTTGCGGGAAGATCACATCACACTTCATTCATTTGTTCGTATTATTTTATGTTACAATAAATTCTGTGGATAAACTCGAACTCATCATTAGATTGGCCATAATTTAGAATTAGGGGCCATATTTTCATTTCGGCAATGTGAACATTCCTACTGTACGCATTCCTTCGGAGGCAACGCAATATCTACCATCTTATTTGGAATGATGTATAGTGTTACGGATTTTCAAATGTTAGTATCCTCATATGGATAGTCAATAATTATGAATAATTGAAAAAAGATAATAGTTAATCAAAATTGTGTTCGATATGGATATTAACTTGCCCATTTATTTTTGGAGTAGCATTCATAATGTAATGATGGTTTCAGATCTTCGAACATGAATTCAATAGGATATCAAACTCAAAAAATCATCTAACGAGATCCGTGAGCGATGAAGACGATGAAAAATCCACCCTGCTCAGGTTGAGAAGAAAGTTCAACGTATACAAAGAACCGATAGTCTATAAACCCGCTATCATCCTCACCATAATCTTCGTCTTTCAACAATTATCAGGAGCATATGCCATAATTTTCTATGCCGTGGACCTGTTTCGTGAAATCGGTGGACACTTCAGGAACGGAATCGACGAATACGTTGCATTGGCGCTCTTGGGAACAATCCGATTCATCATGTCGATCCTATCGGCTCTGATTTCGAAGCGTGTAGGCCGAAGACCGCTGATGTTTATTTCTAGTTTGGGAATGTGTCTTACCAGCCTCATGGCTGGACTCTACATGTATTTGACCCTAGTGCCACAAGAGGAATACGAGAAGTTGAACATCACAAAAGACATATCTCACAACAATGTTACTTTGTATTGTGTGCTGGGCTACGTGTGTTTCAGTTCTTTGGGGTTTTTGGTGATTCCCTGGACACTAATAGGGGAATTGATTCCAGTTAAAGTTAGGGGAAAGTTAGGTGGTCTGATGGTGTCTACCGCGTATACTCTGATGTTTGTAGTTGTTAAAGTGTTTCCTTTCTTATTGGATTTGATAAGCTTGCAATATTTGTTTTATATCATGTCTCTGACAAATTTATTCGGATTTGCGTTTATGTACGTTTTTCTACCTGAAACGTTGGGAAAAACATTTACTCAAATTGAAAAACATTTTGTTTCAAGAACTTAGGATTGCCTAATTAATTGTGATTATATGTTTATATTATTGTTGTTCTCTTCGTTTTATTTCAAACCAAATATTCGCAGGTAGGTAGGTGCTTGTTACTTATGAGCAAAGCGTTCGATAAAGTCGATCACAACCTCCTTATATCGAAACTTTCTGGAATTGGTATACAGGGAAATCTCCTGAGATGGCTCTCGTCATATCTTTATAATCGAAGTCAACTTGTGAACATAAATGGATATAGATCTGCCTCTTTCGTGGTAACTTCAGGAGTCCCTCAGGGCTCACATCTGGGTCCTTTACTGTTTTCAGTGTTTATTAACGATCTGAACAGCTGTTTCAAAAATTCACAGATACTGTTATATGCTGACGATTTGAAGATATTCAGAAAAGTGCTGACAATTAGGGACTGCTCAAAGATTCAAGAAGATCTAAATAGGTTCACTGAATATTGTAACCGTAACAAAATGAAACTCAATGTCAGCAAATGTGCGAGTATATCTTTCAGTAAAAACATTGTCCCTATAGAATTCCAATATCTACTGAATGATAGTATAGTCAAAAGAACGGACCGAATCAAGGATCTTGGTGTATACTTCGATACAAAAATGACTTTCAACCCACATTTTGAGTACTTATTTAATTCTTGTAATAGAGCTTTGGGATTTTTTTGCAGAACATGCAAGGACTTTGATAATGAGGCAGCTATCAAATCTGTTTATTTTGCTTTTGTTCACAGCAAACTAAATTTCGCCAGTGTAGTATGGAACCCACATTATATTGTTTATAAATTACGATTAGAAAGACTCCAGAATAGATTTGTAAGGTTTCTCCACTTCAAAATAACGAAGGTTTACATAACTGTTGGCATCAGTGAAATTCGTTCTCTTTATAAAATACAGCTTCTTGAACAATGACGAATAATTACGGATTTACTCTTTATGTACAAAATCATAAAAAATTGTTACGATTCTCCTAATTTAGTGTCTATGATTTTTTATCATGTTCCTCAAAGATATACTAGAAATAGACAATTACTTACTAGTCCTAGTTACAACACAAATTTGGGAAAAAATTCTCCAATCACCAGAATGTGTTACTGTTTCAACAAATATTGTAATAATTTAGATATATTCTCCATGACATTTAATTCTTTCAAAATAACTGTAAGACATATTTTCAATTTTTAATCTTATAATGAATACAATTCAGTTTATTCCTGTACCTCTTAGACTACCGAAGGATCTATTGTTATTGTAACTATTAGTGGATGCTTGTATGGGTTTTACCTGTTTGTATCCCGAACTTGAAATAAATAAATAAATAAATAAATAAATGAGCAACTTTGGTTTTACCATTATATTATCTGAGAAGCCAACCCCTCCAATCCTAGGCGAGTTGGCAAATTGAGTTTGGGAAAGTTTCACAACAACATTTCATGGTGAATATTTGTTTTTTGTGACCTGGAACTAGGGATTTCCTACATCACCCTGAGAAATTCCAACGTCTAAATCATAAAAGTAGTCGGAATTTCCAAGTTTAATAATGAAGGAAAATTATCAGCTCAAACCAGGAACATCCAACTGCAAAGTCGAACTTTCCGACTGATCAGTAGATAGTTTGAAGTTTGATGTCGGAAAAATTGAATTCCGAATTTTCAGTCGGAAATATCAAGTTTCAATTCGGAAAATGAAATTCCCAGTTACAGGTTTTTAATACTCTGTGTAAAGCCAAGATTTCTAGCTGCATACTCTGAATTTCCAACTCGTGTTCATAGAAAATGAAAGTTCTTTTATCCCAGAGAGAATTATTAATTCCCAGTAAAAACTCGGAATTTCGAAATTTTATACGGATGAGAAAATATATACATATCATGCATATTGTAAATGCATGAAAAGACAAAACAAGACGGTGATAAACCTAGAATCTCAAGACTAAGAGATTCTAGGGAAATTTCGTGAATCGATTGTCAGCTGATGCAAGACAGACTGTTTCGACTTGCCATAAGTCTCATCAGTTGCACTGGCCAGCTGACAATCGATTCACGAAGGGTACCTCCATATATCAAACAAGTCGAAGCCCTGAGGCTTGTTTGATATATGGAGTGTCTTGAGACACAAGACAACCGCGTCGTTTTCCAAATTATTTATTTTTTGTCCTAAACGAAAATTGGAAAATAAAAAAATGACTTGGCAAAATGCTTATGGCCCCCCCCCCCCACTCCAAAATTCTCTCTCAGTTCTTCCCTAAAGGATAATGCAATTTCTCAACTTTAGAAGATTTTATTCTAAAATTCCTATCCTATGTTTCATAAAATATAATTCAATATTCGTCGTGGCATATAGAGCCAGGAAAGTAGTTGTTTTCTGTTAAATATACCGGAGAAGAATTAATATTTTCTCAATCTTAAACTTCCTGCATAATTACAAATCGTGTCAGTTCAACAGAATAATCCTCCCTCTTCGCGGTCGGATTATTTCAACTGTCAAACCCGAATATTATGAAGTAGGTACTTATATAAGTATTATTATTACTGAATATTCCTTTTCAATAAGTTCAAAATAACTTATTTTCTCTCTGACGGAATTTGTACCCAAAGAGGGTAAGGTGTGATAATCCAAGGGATAGGATGGGCATCATGGTGATAAAATCTATGAAAATGGGCATGGTGAGAATCTTAAAAAAGTAGTCATTTTGAGGATACTCCAGGCAAAAAAATAACGTTTCAGTGACGTCTTTTTACGTCAGTGGAATAACCAAGGTGACGTCAGGAGTTGACGTCGTATGACGTGATAAATGAACGTGAATAAGTCACAGCCCAATGACGTCATATTACTCACGATTATTGACGTCATTCACTCACCGAACTGTGACGTCGAAATGGCGTCAAAATGACGTTCAAATTTGGTGATGGCACGTACAAAAGTTTTCTCGAACATGGTGCCATAATCACCATTGGCCTCTGATGATGACATATATAATATTGATTATGCATTTGTTGAGTTTGCTTGGTGTTCTCTCTGGTGTCATGTCCATTCAATCGTCTATTCCGCAGCGCTCTCCCTCAGTACGCATCTCCATCAGAATGAAATCAGTTACTCGTATTTGTATAAAAAATCACCTATACAGTTTGTGTCGGCGAGAAGTTAGCAAACCAAGAATAGTTTGATAGCAATGAAAAGGATGTAGGCGATTTCAGATTCACATTGTTGAATAACGTATTTTCATGCATTATTTGTCACCCAACAAGGATCTAAATAGCAAACTATTAAGAAATGTTCAGAATGACGAAGCTCACCAAATTGGTACGTCACACCGACGTGAGTTTTAGACGTCATAGATAGGTCACTGCAACGTCATAAAAGTGACGGTTTCAATATAGGTACTTGTATATGGATAATATGTATGGATAATAATAATAAATGAATAAATAAATAAATATCCATAAAAAGCTTGATTGGTTTCTGAAATATACAGGGTGTGAAAGTTTAGAATGAGTTTTCTCTTACTTTTTGGGTATATATCCAATAAAACTCGCATGTTTCGAATATTTGATATACAATCTTTTTTTATGGATGATGTATATTTTTTGAATCTTTTAAAAATGATAGAGCTAGATATTTCCATCATTAGTTCAAGCTATTATGTGGGAATATCACCGATGGGATATTTTTTTATATTATTTTATATTTCTGATATTTCTCCATTTATATGAAGTCATTTTTTATGGATGACACTGCTTATATGTTTTGCATCTTTTTAGCTTCGTAACTGATAGGACATTTTCATTTTATCTTCTTTTTCTCATTTTTTTTCATATATGATGTAGTTATTTCTGACAATGAAAAATTAGAAATATTGTTCATCAATATTCTCATCGATTATTTCGAAATTTCATGTCTGGTATATTTCACTTGGTTCTAGTACAATTCATTAGTGATTTCAGTACAATCAGTTTTTTCATCTGGCAACACTGTTCATGATACAGGTTATATCACAGGGTTATATTCCGAATTCAACTTATAGCGAATTCCATTGGTAAAACTGGCTCGCACCACCTCGCACTGAGTGCATTTTGGCTATATTCCGAATTCAACTGGTCAGTACTGTCAGTAGATCCACTGAATCTGCTGAAAATCTGTGTTCCGAAATATAAAATCAAAAATACAGTGCTGTAATTCGGGACACGTTTTCATGATTTTCATCAGTAGTCAGCAGCAGTTGATCAGCTGGTGACATTTGTCAGTCTGTAGTTTCTCGTTTATCTGGACTAGATATTTAATATTCAATATTCAACATGAAAGAGCAATCGATTCTTGTAGCCTCCATAGTTTCTAAGATTATTGACTATGACGATTCAAGCTCCAGTGATGAAGAGAATACTTGGACATTTTGTTGCCATTTATTTTTCATGATGCACCAGATTGAGAATTGAAAGATTCATGGAAAACGTAATGATGATGAATTTAGGAGACATCCCAGGTTTATATAGTGATTTATTAAGCCAATGCTGCTTTTTGTTTCGATACCTCTACTACTTCATACTCCATATTATTCTCAGCCTATTATTTGAATAACAGCTATTTTCTTATATTGAGAATAATATCATTAACAACGGAAATAAATGTTGAGGGCGCCGTACATTATGCTATTTCTCGGCAAGTTTGAGGCAATGCAATTTTCTCGCAATTTTCTCAATTTATTGCAAGTCGCCGTACATTGAGATATTTCTGTCATATTTTCTTGTTCATATTCACTATTTTCAGGATTTTTGAGCCTTCAATGTACTTTTTGAGGTAATTTGGTGTTGCAGGCCACGTTATGGAGAAAATTTGTATTTTATCAAGATGCTACGATGAATATTACTAGAAATTTCACTAAACTTGCCTTGAAATTGCAGGAAAAATAGGACTGGTTCTATTACGATACTTGCATGAAACTTGCCGTGAAATATCATAGACGCATGCCCATTGTTCGATTCAAAATTACATTTAATTCAACTTGCTGGTAAATAGCATACTGTACGGCGCCCTTTACATTCCATCCCCCTCTGAAATAATGACAGTTCACTGAAGCCACACTACCTTTTGATACTCAGCAATTTCAGCAGAATGTTGAGTCGAAATATTTGGAATGGATAGTATGTCTGCTCACGAGCATCTGTCACTTTTAGTGAATTTTTTGATTACGGAATGAAAAATCAGCAGATTCAGTGCTGTCAGTTGAATTCGAAATATAGCCTTTGTCAGGTGCTGACGAGTTGAATTCGGAATACAGCCACAGTATGAACTGAGATAGATGTATATATAGAAAGTCAAATGTTGTTATCGAAAAAGATACGAAATCTCTCGATATCGCCTACTTTGTAGAAATAGCGAAACGTGAGAGAATCTTGCTAAATTTCCGGAGTTCCAGATCAAATTCACAGGCATCATGACACATTTATTTGAGTTCACATTTCCATTTACACAATTTTTTTGTGTAAATGGAAACGGTGCGTTATATTTTCGATCTTCAATGGTGAATTCATGAACGACACGAAGTCCTTACTCGAGAAAATCCTGTGATAATAGAAACGAATGTTCGGAATTTCAAATAAACCTAACACATTGCAGCAATGTTAGTCCATGATGATAGCACAATACACTCACTCAACCAATATAATATCAATACCTGCTTAATGTTCCTATAAATTATCATTCATAATAATTCATAATATTTCTATTCGAAATTTGAACAAATAAATCATGAATGGGTGCGTTTTTCATTCCAACATTTTATCATGCGCATGAATCGAAGAAACCATCAAACTGTTGCAAAATTCTGCTGGAATGTTGATGGACATCCATCAAACTGTTGTAATAAAATGCGCACTTTTAAATCGTATTTCGAGAATCCAGCAGTTTGGAGGAGATTGACATGACAGTTGACACATTTTAGTGTTGTTTTTTGTTTTGATTTGATAGAAAACAATTAATATTGAGGATTTTTGAGATTCTTGAGAGATTTTAGAAGAAAGAGTCAGTGTTAATCAATAAAGTTGAATTAGCCTTTTCTGATTCTCAAGATACATGATGACTGATACACAACAAAATCCGTGTTTCCATCAATGTGTTGTATAAACCATTGTTCAATCCTTCCAGCATAAATTCCAACAGAACAATTTGTGACGTCACGACAAAAAACCGCATCTATCAGTGCGCACTTTCTTCGATGGAATGAAAAACACGCCCAATATTCCGAAAACCTCAAACGTGACACTAGTGACAGATAATATGTCGAGTCAAAATCAGGATGTTTCCGCATGGATTATTTGTTACGCCCTGTCTAGTTCGCGTCCTGTTTCTGTCTCTAGATTAGTCTAGATACTTCAATATCAATTCAGCGTTATTGACTACGTGTATCATCAACGGAACTCCTCGAGTCCCGAAAGAAGGAAAACACATCCTTGAAAGTCTAGTTCAACTTCATAATAACATTCGAATTCCCAGAAATTCTCCATCATTCATGCCATCTATCATCGAATATGAGAACTCCACGTTCCGAACTAGCATTCATCATTCATCGCTGACGAAAGTTTTAGTCTGACGAAACAATTGAAGAGTGGGTACACCAGAGGAATTATAAACATCTCAGAACTTGAGTATGAATAATGAATTATGATGGAAATAGTAGATATGAATGAATGAATAGCAAATAGGAGATGAAGTGGTGATTCAGATTATCTGATTTTGATGTTCTTGATGGTGATAAAAGCCGTGAATTTTGCGAGCACATAACAATTTGTTGCTATCGAATATAACAACATTGCTACATTGATATTATCGATAGTGAGTACATTTTTTATTTTTTGCTTTGTATTTTAAATATGATGTGACATTTTCCTCGATATTTTGTCAACTAATACAATAATGTATCAAGATCCGTGAAGATGTTACTGGTCCAAGACAATGTTTAGAGTGTAGTATATTAGTACAATCAGTACCATGAGTGTATCTATGTGCTATGTGGATTCTGGCTGAAATGGTTAACCCAACCATGAAGTTCCCATTCACCATCACCTAAAATACATTGATTAATAAGAATAAGGCAATCAATGAACCAACCAATCCAGTGAATACTTACCTGTCGTATTATTATGGGTTTGTGGCACTGAAGTGGATGGAGTAGAGTGGGGCTGATAATATGTAATGGAGCTTTCACTCTATAGGCATAATCTGATTTCCACAATATTTGTCAAACATAGATAGTTAGAAAAAAATGTCTCAAGGCATTAAATCATTCACATCATTGAACAGGTAGCTTGAAATCTACAGATTACTGATTAGAAGTTTTCTCCAACCAATGAACCAACCAATCCAAGGAATACCTACCTGAAATATTATGGGTTTGTGTGTTTGTCATCTCCTGAAGATGCTAAAGATAGTTAGAAAAACACAGACAGTTAGAAAAACATGTCTCAAGGCATTAAAATATTAGTTTGGTTAGTGGTAAAACCACATAAAACAGTGTATTTCGTAGCTGTAGTATCCAGGCTGTCATGAATATTATCATAATATGGCACCCTTAGATAGATTCTTCATTTGTTTTCCATTTAAAATATTCACATCTGGAATATAAATGAACAAACATGTCAAAAAACACTTGATATCAAACATAACATATAAATAAATAGATGAATAAATGGTAAATAGACATATACTTATAGCAGTACAAAATGAGCTAATGCAGAAAATTTCTTTGTACCTATTATTTTATGTACCTAGGTACCTTGGTACTTATATTGTATAATATCATTTAACAGGCTATCCTTATAAGTCTGCTATCACTCCATTGAGATAATGAAACTATTAGCAAATTCCATTTGCAGGCACTGGTGGAGTGTTTCTCCACTCATAGTGTATATTCACCTCTGTTTAACACATGCCAGTAAGAAGGAAACATATACATTGAGTGCAGAAACACTCCACCAGTTCCTGCCAATGGAATTAGCTATAAATTGGCTCTGTAACACCTACTACTTTGTTTTCTTAGCCCACTTACTAAGAAAACAAATATGAGAGATTCGAAAAAACACATTTTTTATATATTTTTATCACCCTATAGGTACATATTTCTGTAACAAAAGAGTTTTGGACATACATTCTTAAAGGAACTAAGATATTTACTCCCCTTTTTCTGAGATGCCTTCTCGAAATATCTCATGAAATATAATTATACCATCACAAAATGGTCAATTGTTCCTTTGATGCATTTTTGATGCAAGTGCACAGCATTGCATAAAATTATATGTCTTAGGAGTGTATAGAAATTTATTCAAAAATATAAATTATAAAGTATCATAGAAATAAAATGAAAGTTTTCTTTGATTGACAGATCTGAATATAATGTTGCCCATTTTAGGCAGTCTTAGGCACTAGATAATTTTCAGTCTTCTCATTAGATTTATATTTATCTCCAAAGTAAATATATTCTATCATTGGAAAATTTGGTGTAAGTTGTTATCTGTTATTCAATGAATAATATATAGAGTCAAGCATATAGCAAACTATAATAATAATATATTATACTATACCAGGAAAGGAATATTTAAAGCAGAATTATCATCTTTTATAGAATTATATTTTGGAAAAATGTTCGGCATACATTTTAGAGATTGAAGAAGAAAAAAGCTCAGTCTTCTCCACGACATTTATTGAAATGTTAATAATTAAACATGTTTGGAATATAAGTGTCCATCATCAGGCTTAAAAGGAGCATACAAACGATTCATTGAAAACTACTAGGAACAATAACTATTGTAAGATTCACTGTAATTTTTTGATTGTCCTTAGTATGATGAATACTTCAAGTCCACTTTGCTTTCCAAATTTAATTTCTTGGGAAAGCAACATTTGCTGGGATCACAATAATGTGAAGGCATTGCAAACTCGAACTGGTTGCAAGTTCTGAAACACTCAGATGATTTTTGTTATCAACTCATCTATCCACTATATTTCCATATGAAATGAATAGCAAGACGCACGATCGGGCTTGTGATGACGCTGGCGCCAGACTATTATCGGACCAGGGTACAATCTGATAACAACAGTATAATGTATTCAAGTTGACAGCCATAATCAGTTACATAATCACTCAGTGCATACTCATATGTGGTGCCCCAAAACAAGATTCAGTTAAATCTCCGTTAAATCTGGCAGGTGAACTATCTAACCAAGCTGATTATTCGTGAAATAAGTTAGGAATAGGCGAGTGGGCTAATTTCAAAATCAAATACCATTCAATTTCATATTTTTGTAAGAATTTGGTCGATTTTTAGGTGCTAAAATCATCAATAATGCCACCGTATTTTTGAAACAGCTAGAAATTTACCGCCAGTAAAAACTGACTCCATGATATCGTAAGTAGGGGTAGACCATAGCACAGTTGCCATGTGTTGAAATACGATTGGTAATTTCAGAAATATTAGTTATTCGATAATAATGAATTCTCAATTAAGTATTGGTAATACTCCTAATTACCAACGAAAATTCAATTGTCTCAAAAGGCGTTTTCGGAAACTTACTCTGGGTGATAACTCGATCCAGATAGGTCACGTGACAAAAAACTCATCTACTCGTGTTCAACGTTTACGAACGTGTCAGGTTAGGAACACTGAATATTATATTTTTCCTGTGGTTTCATGAATTTGACAGACGAAAACGGTCAAATTATATTCAAGTAATCATTTGATCTGATTACAAATATTTATATTTACCTGTGGATTGGTGTACTGGTCTCATATGTGTTGTTGCACATAACCACAAACTTCATCCCTACCCAAATTCTCTTCTCAATGAATTACTTCAATCAAATTATGAAGATTGAAAAGAACATGTATTTCACCGGTCGTGATTTTTCCCAACATGCAAATTATTTTATTATTATTGTTATCGTCGAATGTAAACTCCCGCGTTTTTTGATTGACTTAAATTCCGTAATGCGCATGCGGTGTTCTTTGCAACTCTGGCGACCCTGCTTTTGAGTAGGGTCACGAAAAATCAACCCGAGTCAGTGATCGAGTTAGCATCATTCAAGTTTCGGAACAGAGGTAGATTACCTAGGTAACTCGGTTTGGGTAACCGAACGTTCAGGTTAGGGATCCGAACAACCCGAGTAAGTTTCCGAAAACGCCTAAAATGTTCCCTCATGATTTGTGGCTCATTCCTTATAATAAATATCTGTAAATAATAATTATATTAATTCAGAATAGAGGACATTTGAATAGGTGAACGTGACAACCACGGCGCACGATTTGTGGGTGTGGTTTGATCAGTTCTCAGCATTCAGCACAATGTTGCCAAGTCTCCAACATTCACATGATATGTTGTTATGCTTGCTTCATGAGTGGAAATGGAAGACACGCTGGGTTGATAGTGACGTCAATATTTCAACACAGTGTTGCCAGTTGAAAGGAAATGACTGAATGACCAACCGCCCGAATATGGATATGTCTAGTGTTACGATCGTCGGACGTTATAATGTTTTTTGGAACCAACTCATAAGCCGTCCATTTATGTTTCAAAATCAGCACTTGAAGTTGATAAATGAACTTCAATATTTGTATTTAATGAACCATGCACCTAAACAGTATACTGAATATGCAATTTAATGATAATGGAATTCTTATAAAGAATAATTATAAGATCAAACGAACTTACCTCAAGTGAAGTTCGATCTTAATTATATGAAACGCCTTGTCCGAGATGATTCAACTGTGTAGTTTCCCCACTTCCTGCCAAATGTACCACAATATTCAAAGCTCTCATTTACCCCGCTCTCCCCTACTAACCCACCGTGTCTAGCTCTACCTCCAGCGACTAACCTCATTATTTTTAAAGCTATATATCATTGCAACTGGAGATGATTATGGGTGGGTTTGAAGGGTGGGTATAATCATCTCGGACAAGGCGTTTCATATAATTAAGATCGAACTTCACTTGAGGTAAGTTCGTTTGATCTTATAATTATATTCACGCCTTGTCCTCAATGATTCAACTGTGTAGATGTTTAAAGACAGTTGCAATGTTGCAGATACAAAATCATATATTTTGCCATATAACAACTTCAAATAGCAAAATTAACCTGAACATCAACAAATTTAACGAAAAATTACAAACAATTTCTTAGAGCCTGAGGATGGCTTTGGCGAAATCATTCCTGTCATGAATAGGCTTATTATAAAATCGAGCGAAACAACTTGATTTTTGCGACCACCCGGCTGTTGATAATATTCTATCTAGGGTGATTCCACTTCTATTAGCAGCCGAAGTCGCTGCATGACGTGTACTATGGGCCTGGAACCTGCTCACGTCAATACCACTCTCAGCTAAGGTTTTCTTGATCCAACGGCTAATCGACTGGGTACTGGCTTCCAGGTGAGGCTTCTTAAAGGTGATGAAGAGTCTGTTGACATTTTCGCGAAGATCCTCAGTCCTTCTTAGGTATGACTTGAGTGCCCTCGCAACACATGTGCTTGGATTTTCTTCAAAATAAGGAACCTGGAGAACCGGCTGTTGCCTTCCCTTTCCGGAAGTCTTTACCCTGTCTGGAATTTTTATGATCAGACCGTCATCTGTTTCCTCTATATTGGAAGTTAATATAAGAGAAAGCGTTTGAGCACGGTGAGCTGTGATTAAAGCAAGGAGAGTTACTGTTTTTCTGGTGAGCAACTCTAGATCCAGATTCTCATTGGGATAAGCCTGACTCAATTGATCTATGACCACTGCAGGATCCCAAGTTTCATTGTATTTAGGTGTCTGAGGCCTAAGACGCTGCACACCTCTGAAGA